AACCATTGTTATATGAATAATTTCGTACTGCGCGGTCTATGAATCTATTTATAATCTTCTTAGTCTTGGTTCGACGAGTATAGATCTGCGTGAAATGAGGACTACGTATGTGTGTTGGCACGCATTCCATAACAATAACATATTATCTATGTGTCTAGTCCAAATATAACTATGTTTAGTCCCAAACATAATAGGTAAGCTAGATCCAAATACAACTATGTATCCAGCCCGTTATTTATCAAGTGTATTCAGTGTAGATACGTGATCACTACAAACTCCACTTCACCCACCCACCCTCCTCTCTCGCAATGCTCTTGTGGAGACTTAACGGAGCACTTAAGCGCGGTTAGCCTCACTTTGCATGACTGGTAGCACTCGTTCGGCAGGGCCCCACAGGCTGTCGGAATGTATTAATTGGGCTCAACTTAATGTAGCGCCGCACAATGTGGCCCCGATATATACACCTCGGTAGAGGACGATGATCACGTGAAAAACGAGTGCGCAACGTCACGGAGCAGAGAAAAATACTTAACAGACTTACTTTTAAAATTGGTCCGACTTGCTGTCTCCTTCTTTTATTATTTCCACATTTATATATACTTAATAGTTTAAAATAAGCAATTCTATATTTGAAGAGCCTATTTGCAAAACTGCTTACGTCCATTTGGAAGAATTGAGAAAAAACGACAAAACAAATTATTTGACACGTGTGGTTTATCTATTTAAAAGAATTTTTACATTGTTGGGTAATTATATGAGACCTAAGTCATAACTAACAGGTTTTCAGAAATTCTTCCTAAGCAGTTATGAAACTAAAGTCCAATAACAAACACAAAATAATTAATTGACTCGCTCCATTGGAATATTTTAGTTAAAATAATTAACCAGCGTGACTGTAAATTCAATAATACAAAACATTTCTTAGTATTAAGATGGTATTAGGTTGGGATAGTGTGGGGAATTGTAAGCACTCATGTTTGAAATGTATAAACACACATCGTGTGATTGAGCCAACAATATGACTTGAAGAGTGGATTCTGAAAGACCTATAAACATAGGCTATGTAATTATGCACGTCCTAGATAGTAATTTCGATAAAATCTCAAACTTCAGCAAACGCAGAGAGCCCGCGTTATCAAACGCGTTCTCAAATCGTTGTGCACTTTGAGAAGCGTATAGTTCGGAATGTTGCGCTTAGCGTATAAAAAAAACATAGGTTAGTCGTTCCTCTGATTTATTACATCCACTGATTTT